CTAAATGATTACGGTACTAAAATTGTTATGTCTATTGCAAATATAGCTTGTTTATACAGGTATTCAAATAAATTACTATCTTACAAGAATCCAAGCTATGTAAGTTATATTCACCCAGGTCGTTTGGGTGGCAAATTATGAGAAGAGGTTAGTCACTCTTAAGTAATGATAAATAATACACCCAGATCTTCAGCGCCAACTGTCAAATCTTATCTCAAATAAATAAAGACACTCTGTCACCTCACCTCACGCTCAGCTGGCTACCTCCCTCCCTGTGTTCCCAGACAAAAGATTGGTGATTTCTTTATGTTTATTTTATATAATATCTCAGACTAAAGTTAGGATAATATAATTTGCATTGCTGAAATCCTTGCAAAGTTAGGATAATATAATTTGCATTGCTGAAATCCTTGCAAAGTTAGGATAATATAATTTGCATTGCTGAAATCCTTGCAAGACAGAGATTAATTTAAATATAAGCGTCATATATTTTGCTCAAGGTATAAAAAATGTAGTACATTAGTGTACAATACTGTAGTACATTTTATAAAAAGTTTTTCAACTGTATTTTTGGGTAGATTTACATAAATTTCTTCATTTATTTTCATCCATTTACATGCACACACCATACTAAAAGAAACGTAAAAGAAATAAATGACCTTAGTGCAAAGCTGGAGTGCACATGTACTAATTTGATTACGGTACTAAAATTGTTTTGTCGAGTGCAAATTATAGCATGTTTATATTCAAATTAATCAGTATGTTACAAGAATCCCAGCTATGTTAATTATATTCACCCAGGTCATTTCACTGGCTTTTCATAAGAGAGAAGCTTAGTCACTTAAGAACTGATAAATATACACGCGTTAGACCTGGGCCTGTGCCAACTGTCAAACGTACTACCTCCCCTCCCCCCACGCCCCATCGCTTGCTCCCTCCCTCTCTCTCCCCCATCTGCTTGGCGTTGCTGGAATCCTTGTAAAACAGTGAATAATTTTAATATAAACGTCATGTATTTTGCACAAGAGATAAAAATTAATCACCTGTATCACATTACAGTAGTGATTTAAGAGTAAAAGTGTATATGTACGTATATAGTATTCCACATACACATAAGTATAAATAAAAAGTTTATGTGATGATCGGACAACTTCCATTTCAGTTAACGTCAAGTTTCCAAGAACGTATCTAGGACGCACCAGCTGCATGACTATATATATATAAAATATATATATATATATATATATATATATATATATATATATATATATATATATATATATATATATATATATATATATATATATTATATATATATATATTATATATATATATATATATATATTATATATATATATTATATAAATATATTATTTATAGTAACTCTTAAATCTCTACTGTAATTTGATACAGGTGATTAATTTTTATCTCGTGCAAAATATATGATGTTTATATTCAAATTATTCGCTGTCTTGCAAGGATTCCAGCACTGCAAATTATATTCTCCTAACTTTAGTCTGTGATATTATATAAGCTAAAAACTGTAAGTCTAAAACCCTCGCTGGGTAGATGGGGGAGAGGGAGGGAGCGTGGGGGGGGGGTGGTGGGGGGAGGTGAGGTGATATGTTGATAGTTGGCGCTGAAGGTCTGTGTGTTTATTTATCATTCCTTAAGAGTGACTAATGTTTTCTCTTATAATTTGCCACCGAAACAACCAGGGAGAATATAATTTACATTGCTGGGATTCTTGTAAGGTAGTGATTAATTTGAATATAAAGAAGCTATAATTTGCACTAGACAAAAATTTTAGTACCCTAATCATTTAGTAAATGGACAGTACAGGTTTGCACTTAGGTCATTTATTTGTTTTACGTTTCTTTTAGTATGGTGTGTTTATGTAAATGAATAAAAGTAAATGAAGAAATTTATTTAAGTCTACCCAAAAATACAGTAGAAATTTTTTTACATTATTAAGTGTACTAATGTATTAAAGTTTTTATCTCTTGTGCAAAATATATGATGTTTATGTTCAAATTATTCATTGCCTTGCAAGGATTCCAGAACTGCAAATTATATTCTCCTAACTTTAATCTGTGATATTATATAAGATAAAAACTTTAAGCCTAAAACCACCAAACCCTGGCTGGGAAGAGGGAGGGCAGGAGGAAGGGGAGGTGACAGTGACATGTTTGACAGTTGGTGCAGAAGGTTTAGTGAAGTATTTATTTCTCTATTTATGTTGTTTAGATTGAGTTTTTGGTTTTTGCTTTTAAAATATCACAGAAGTGACCGGGGAGGCTATAATTTACGTTGCTGGAATTCTTATAAGATAGTGATTAATTTGAATATAAACGTCATATATTTTGCACAAGAGATAAAAATTTTAGTACATTTTAATAATGTAAAAATTTTTCAACTGCATCTTTGGGTAGATTAACATAAATTTCTAGGTGTCTCTCTTTCTTCTCATCACCAGGAGAACTCTCGAAAACTCTCACTTTTACGCTTGCCATCCAAAAATGCAGTTAAAAAAAATTTACATTATTAAAATGTACTATTGTACTAAAATTTTTATCTCCTGTGCAAAATATACAACGTTTATATTCAAATTATTCACTGTTGCAAGGATTCCAGCAATGCGAATTATATTCTCCTTAAAACACCAAACCCTGGCTGGGAAGATGGAGGGAGGGAGGAAAGAGAGGTGACAGTGACATGTTTGACAGCTGGTGCAGAAGGTCTAGTGAAGTATTTATTTGTTTATTTATGTCCTTTAGATTGAGTTTTTGGTTTTTGCTTATAAAATGTCATAGAATTGACTGGGGAAAATATAATTTACATTGCTGGAATTCTTATAAGATAGTGATTAATTCGAATATAATCATGCTATAGTTTGCACTAGACAAAAATCTTGGTAATCATTTTGTACATTATTTTGAGTACATGTACAGTACAGCTTTGCCCTTAGGACAGTGTGTGCATGTAAATTAGTAAAAATAAATGAATAAAGTTACATATTGTATACTGTATTGAGCCAAAAATATTAGTTGAAAAATTTTATGTAGACAGAGCTTGGATGGCTAAATTTTAGAATGACCAATAATTTTAATATAAAAAAATGTAAAAATATTCAAGAACACAACTTTCTTGATATTTACTCCACTGGAAACGAATGTAAACGTAGAACCGATTACTGTATTGGCGGAATAGCCGATCGCGTGATGCACACAACAAAGTGTTTCTCCCAAGGCTTTTGTCAATCAAAGTTTTGTTCGTTAATGGAACTGAAAATCATTATGGGAGCTAATTCGTTAACCAAATTTTTTTTAATTGAACTCTTCGTTAATTGAGGGACCACTATATATATTTTCACCAGCAGATTCTGTCATCTTGAGCGAGTGAAGCTCTAGTCAGTGGCTGGAGTGTACCATATGTCTAAGAGCACCAGAACCCCCCGAGATCGGTAACAGAGGCTCTCAACTCTGAGTCGTCACCTGGCATTCATAGGTGGTGTATGCTATTATGCTCTGTATCTACCCCAACTTTGTATTATCTAATATATTCAGTTGTAGCCTTGTATTTCCTTTCATAAAGGTTAATGTTTGGTCCAACTAAATTTCCATGGAGATAAAGAGTCAAATTTCAGCATGGAAGCAGCTCAATGTGCCTATTGGTGAGACTGCTCGGCAGACTGGGAGGTCGGAGAGGGCCATAAGGAATTGCTTGAGAAGGCTAATGGCCCTCCACCTGATATTTTACCACCTCGAAAGCAGCCACTGGACAAACTAGGAAGACATTTAAGGCCACTGGACAATCTACTACATTGTGAGGTAATGAAGACTCCACATATTTCTGTGGCAACACTCAAGAAAAACCGTCCAAGGCTGTTATCAGATGTGTCTGAATGTTCAATTCAGCATCGTCTCCAAAAATACCTCAACTTGCCATCACGTAGAGCTGCTTAGAAACCCATGCTTACTGACACTATGTGCAAGAAAAGAGTTGCTTTTGCCAAAACGTAGAGAGAATGGACAACTGACCAATGGCGTCAAGTCCTGTGGAGAGATTAATCTTGTTTTAAATGCCTCGCATCTAGACAGAGAATGGTGAGGAGGCCAAGTACCGTGAATTGCTGTGACTCAAAATACACAGTGAAAACCATAAAACATCCTGAATCAGTGATGTTGCTGCCTCTGACTCATTCCCGCCATCTTTGCTCTTGTTTACACTTACCGTGTGTCTCTGACTTCATGTGTTTTTCATTATTTCCGACTTCATGTATAATGCAATCATGCCTAAATGCCCCAGTTATAGTTCATTTTGTGCTGCCTCTCTTAGGGGCAGCTTGATGTGATGTGATAAGGTGTAATAAGAGTGGTGATGGACCAGCAAAGATTGGTAGAGACTTGAACTTGCCACCCTAGACCATCTCTATCATCCTCAATACAGGTCAATAACAGTCTCAATTTCTGCTTTACAGTGCTTATGTATAGCTTATTATGCTTACTATATAGTGTGCTTTTTTGCTTGACAGTGTACACGACAAAGATATGTTGAGGATAAATGGAAGATTTTGGAGGGCGGCTGGTCCTTAACCCTCTGAATTTGTTATGTTCTGATGGGATTAATTGCGTCGGTTACCAGGGTACACCTGTATAACGTTTGAAATTCTATAAAAGACTTCCAAGTGCAGGAGTATACTTTAATGTGTGTGACCAAAAAAGAGAGGCAACTATGCAAGAAATGAAGCTTCTCCCAACATAATGTTTCTTCTATTGATAGAAACTGGCAAGTAGCTTAAAACTAGTACTGTGTTGTTGTACAGTACAGTATTAGGTAAAGTCAATATAAAAGATCTAAGCAACTCTTTGGAGGCTAATTCATTAGTAGAATATGTTGAAACCCATAATTATATATATTTTTGTTTCATCTCTAGATTCCAGAGTAGAAAAATGCATACATTAGATTTGTAGAGGGAAAATGAAGTTTTTTTTTTCCAGATTGGTACATCCCTGTATGATGCAGATGGTGCCAAGATCGTAGAGAAGCTTATGGCCAAAGCAGAGAAAAAGAATGTCAAGATGCACTTCCCGGTGGATTTCATCACTGGTGACAAATTTGATGAAAATGCAAATGTAAGTACAGTTTAATGTGTAAGTAAATTTTGTGTACTCGTACTTGCAAGGAAGGATGCAAAAAAATGCTTTAGAACCTTGGAAATCTTGGTGTTAGTTATCTAGAAGTTTCAGAAAACTGATACTGTATACAGTAATAAAAAGGTAAATGGAAAAGCAAGCTTGAATACTTTAAGATAGCAGATGAAGCTTTACTTTTAACATCACTCTGCCCAAATTCTTAGTGTAAACAGTTGCCAGCTCAGTTGGTGTTTGGCAATGCTTACTGTGGGGTAATGTGAACTTTGACTACATAAAAATGCCTTGTTAGAACCCAGAATCAATATTTAGAACTCAATACATGTTTTAGATAATACTCATAGTAGCAGTGCTAAGCATTAAATCATCAAATGTTCACAATTCCTTAGCTATGTTTTAATTACCAAATACAGTAGAACCCCTGTTATTGGGGACTGAAACATGTCAGAAAAAAATATTTTCCAGTTATTTGAACCTCTCTCTCTTCCGATCTCCCAATAAATCCTACAATGCACAGTACTAAAGGCAGACCTCGCAAATTCATGTCTCAGAAAACGGACTTCTTTAGCACCTATTTCACTCTATAAAAGCGTGGTGGCTTATAAATAAAGAAAATATAATTAAAACTTTAAAATAAGAAAAATTTAGAGCATGGGTGTAAGTGTATGGGAAGTGAATGTGTGTGGAGGTGGTGGGCTATAACCGAGTGGAACCACTCCCTCCTGATGTGACATCACCGCATACGCACAGCACAGCACGGTGACCACATACCGTATATCTCGGCCTACAAGACGGAATTTGAAAAAAACAAAAAATAGCCCAAAGTTAGGGGGTCGTCTTAAGCACCAGAGATAAAATTCTTACCTCTTAAATATTGCGGTTTAGCGTGTCAAGAGTGGTGATGGAAACATGGTAAACCACTCACAAGGTCCTACCACTAATTATTTTATACTGAAACTTACATTTGGGAAGCTGGATTAAAATGAAGATTACCGGTATATTAAAATAATAAAAATGTATTATAAACCAGTCTAACATACCGTAAAAGAACAATATACCCCGGTAATAAACACAGCTGCTATCATCACCCCCCCCCCCATTTGCCAGTGACGAGAAAGGGAAAGCGACCTTGACAGTGACCGCCTGTGGCTATTTTTAGCCGTCCTTGTGTTCGGAGGTGGTCAGTAATGCATATCTGTATATTTACTGATCATAATACTTATCTCCTATAAATAATTAATTTAAAATTAATTTTTTTACAAAGAATATTCAGTAAATGACTGCGTTAATTCTTGAAACTACCGACAGTGGTAAATTTAGGATGAGAATGATGAACAGAAGTCACGTCATGGATTCGGAGTTTGGTCCTTAATGATCACCATAAATTTCTGGTCAACTTCACCTACCAGGTATAATGGTAGCCTCCCTTTTTCGCGAAACAAGTATATAAATTAAAGAAAATACTTGCAGTGTGTTTAATGTATTACAGTATATTATAAATAAATAAATAAACAAATAAATCGGCAAATCTATTTCAAGTAAATGGAAATATTTTACTCACACCAACATTAGTTCCAGTTAAATAACTGACGCTTAAGTGAGTCACTAGTGTACACCAGCCGGTAAAATTTGATGCCAATACTTGAAGTGAATTGGCATTATTTTAAATAACCAACCATAAATAAATGGAAAAAAGATCAAAGGTGAGAAACATTATATTGTATGATGTTTATATTCAAAATGATCATCATATTGTAAGAATTCCAGCAATGTAAATTATATTCTGGCAGAGTAATTTGTATGAATTTTATGAGCTAAAACAAATATCTTCAATAAATAAAAAAAATATTCATCACCCAGACACTATATGTCAATCAAAATACCCAACCTCCCTCTTCACACGATGGCTGGGTCCCTCCCTCCCGCCCTACCCCCCACTCCTACCTTCCCTCCCTACCAGAGAAATGTTTGGGAGAAAACAGTGTGTTTACATTTTTAGGGAATATTTTGAATGTAAACTTCATATATTTTGCATAAAAGATAAAATACTTGCTTTGTGTAAACCAAATTATTACATTAGATCTAAAATTTGTATGTCTAATGCAAAATCCATGATGTTTATGTTCAAAATGATCATCATATTGTAAGAATTCCAGCGATGTAAATTATATTCTGGCCGGGTAATTTGTATGAATTTTATGACATGTATAAAAATATACTCACCAAGATATATATATATATATATATATATATATATATATATTCTGTGACTTCACTTTGCACAAATCGTTTTACCCTCAAGATAGGGATAAATTTTGATCAGAAATATTTAGTCACAATTCTAACGGCATCTGGAACCCTTAGGCGACAGCTGTCACATAGCAGCAACCGCTCAGTCTTTGTTTAAGTTGCGTGGGTGGAGGTTATTGTACCCATGTGAGCGCCACGTGCCGTGATTTTACGCCTGAGTTACAGTGCTTTATCGTGTGATTTCTGGGTCTTTAAGATGTCCAGGAGAGTTACTAAGCGTGAGGATATTGCACAGGTGATTGGTTTATACAAGGCTAATCATAAAGTTACTGAAATAGTTGAATTAACCGGTGTGTGCCGCCGGTCAGTGTACCGATTCATCTCGGAGTTTGAGGCAAACAGCCAGGAAGAGTTGCCTACCCCTAAACCCAAGTCTGGGCGACCACGGCTTACGTCTCCTAGAACCAGGAAGGTGATTGCTAGGCAAGTTAATGCTAATCCTAAGCTCACGGCCCGGGAATTAAAGCAAGCTAACCCCGGACTCCTTGGTCACGTCTCCTTAAGGTCGGTGCAGCAGCTTCTTCATGACGATCTCGGTTATCGCGCCTACCGCCCACGCCGTAAGCCCCTGCTGACTGCTGCCCAGAAGAAGAAGAGGATCACTTTTGCGAAGAAGTACAGTGTCTGGTCCCTTCAGGATTGGAGGAACGTCCTGTGGAGTGATGAAGCCACGTTTACAGTGAGTGGTTGTGGTCACGATAGGGTGTACCGCCGGCCAGACTCTGACCCGCTCGACCCCAGGTACACCGTCAAGACGGTCAAGCATCCTGATTCAGTGATGGTATGGGGTTGTTTCACTTATTATGGTGTTGGTGAGTTGGTTGTGCTTGAAAAAAACATTAAAGTTAACCAGGGTGTGTACCTCGAGCTTCTCTGTGACGTTCTGCCTGACTCGTTTGAGAAAACACGCGCCGTCGTGTTCATGCAGGACGGTGCTCCCTGCCACACAGCCAAGTCGGTTACTCAGTGGTTGGAGGATTGCCAGGTTTCATATTTTAAGGACTGGCCTGGCAATTCCCCCGACATCAACCCTATTGAGAACCTTTGGGGGCTCATGAAACGTCGCCTACGTGACCTCGACACCTCGTCCGTCCCCAAGCTCACCACAGCAATTAAGCAACTGTGGGCCAATTTCACCCCACAGCACCTGCAAAACCTTGCAGACAGTGTTCCACAACGACTGAAAGAGGTGCTGAAGAGGAAGGGAAACACAACAAAATACTAAGAGGGGTGGGTGAGTGTTATTTTCATTTTTTTATTGCCTTAACCATGATTTTTTTATTTTTTCCCCACGGTGTGCCTTAACCTTCCGCGTAGACTGTATATATATATATATATATATATATATATATATATATATATATATATATATATATATATATATATATATATATATATATACCCGTGTATAGCACGAGTTCTTAAGACCAAATTTTTGGGCAAAAAGTTGGGGGTCGACCTCTATACGGGTAATAGTTTCGTTAGGTTGAAAAATATTTACCAGTAACTACCAGTAAACAATGGAAACGACGCACCAACGCACCACCCGCTGTGAGTGTCGGTACAGTTGCCAGGGCAGATCTCTTGCGTCATCATAGCAAGCCCAAAGTAGCCAAATGCATGGTATGGTATGCACAGGAGTATGTAAAACATAAAGTATTCATTTTTAAAAGTTTATTTATAGATACATAAATTTTTGTTAATTAAATTTGAAACATCAATATGATGTGAGTCAGGTCATCTACACACAGTTGCCAGTTTCAAAATTTTCCTTTTAAAATTTTAAGTTACCGAGTATTTCTTTTCCCAAATCGTTTTACAATACTGTAGGTAAAACAGTATACTATTGTGCAAACCCCACAGAAAAAAAATTAACAAATGGAGACACCAAAAATGTAAAAAAAAAAAATGCTGTCTGACTTGCAACACTGTTGGTAGGGTCAGGTGGTTCTAACGGTACCTGCCAGGACCCGGTAATCAAATTTATAACAATATCTAACCTCAATTACTGTAGTTTATCTGATGTAGGCAATATGAAGTAAAAAATACCAGTTAAAGTGAGAAATTGGAAGAGAATAAACAAGAAAGATGTTGGGCTATTTTTGGTAGGGCTGAGGGAGAGAGTACCAGCTGTTTGGTCTTTTTTGGCGGGAGAGTCACGCAAATATCCGTACTAGTATTTGTTTGGTGTCTTCTGTATTTTTAAAAATGAATACTTGTAAATTAAAAGTACCGTAACATTGTATTATATAAAAACTTGTCATATTTCTGGAAAATAAGAATACACCGGTAAACACAATTTCAACGTACGCTAAAATTAAAAGCTGCTTAAGAAGGGCCGATGCAAACACAAAGCCTCCACGACCAGGGCTCTGCCGTATCAGCTAGACGGTACACGTGTTTTTCGAATCGTTTTCAGTTAAAAAACTTTTACATCACAAGTGAATTAGGATAGAATATTATTGTAATATAACAGTTTTTAACTGAAAACCATTCAAAAGGCGATTACGGTAACATCTTGTGAACGAAAGAAAGCGAGTCATTGTTTTTGTCACGATTTTATCCCACTTTCCACTATAATACGTACGTCATTTCAGCAAAAATATTACATTTCCATATTCTCAGAAATAAATAGTAGTTTTGCTGAAACGTGATGTATTTCAATGTAAATTAGGATAAACTACATGAAAACAAAAGACTTTACCTAACCTTCCGATGTTCAAGAGATGTTACTCGTATTTTTAATAGTTTTCGGTTAAAATACTGTTATATTAGTGATATTCTATTCATACTGTGGTTGATATAATACCTTCACGGAAATGTAATATTTTTTGCTGAAATGACATACGTATTACAGTGGAAAGTGGGATAAAATTGTGATGAAAACAATGACTTTCGCTTTGTTTCGTTCAAAAGATGTTACCGTAATCACTTTTCGAATGGTTTAGTTAAAAAACTGTTGTATTGTATTACAATAATATCCTAATTGACTTGAATAAATATTACGATACCATATTTCTGAATATTTTCATTAAAATCCATCAAAATCATTTTCCTTGTCATCGTCTGCAGCACCAAACAGCTTCTCCCAGTCTCTCCTTGAACAGGGCTAGAGGGTACGTGTTTTTCGAATCGTTTTCAGTTAAAAAACTATTACATCACACGTATATTTTACCTAAACTGTGCCTGAATGAATATATTCTCGGAAATAAATAGTAGTTTTGCTGAAACGTGACGTATTTCAATGTAAAATAGGATAAAATACATGACGAAAACAAAAGACTTCACCTAAGCTTCCGATGTTCTTGAGATGTTTTTTTAATAGTTTTCGGTTAAAATTCTGTTATATTACAATGATATTCTATTCATACTGTGCTTGATATACTACATTCACGGAAATGTAATATTTTTTCCTGAAATTACGTACGTATTAGTGGAAAGTGGGATCAAATCGTGACGAAAACAATGACTCGCTTTCTTTCGTTCAAAAGATGTTACCGTAATCGCTTTTCGAATGGTTTAGTTAAAAAACTGTTGTATTACAATAATATTCCCTCCTAATTGACTTGAATAAATACTTGAATGGAAATATACAATATTTTTGTTGAAACTACCTGCGTTTCAGTGTAAAGTGTCGTAATAATAAATGGTAAACAAGTTTATAGGACGTAGTGTTTCTCTGAAGGTTTTGTTGTTCCTTTACCCTCAAAAACTTGGGTCGACCTATAAACGAGGAATATCATAAATTAACGATTTCTTGGTCATAAAATCGGGGTCGACCTATATACGAAGGGGGGTTATAGACGAGTATATACGGTATATATATATACGGTATATATATATATATATATATATATATATATATATATATATATATATATATATATATATATATATATATATATATATATATATATATATATATATATATATATATATATATATATATATAATAAATGTATGTAGTAAGTATGTACAGTAATCTTTTTCACTCAAATCCTAATGAAACACTATTGAATTAGAATACTGTAGCTGGTTGAAGCAAGCTTATAAATTAAAGAAAATACTTGCAGTGTGTTTAATATATTACAGTATGTTATAAATAAACAAATAAATCGGTAAATCCATTTCAAGTAAATGAAACAATTGTATTCTACACCGACATTAGTTCAAGTTAAATAACAGACTTTTAAGTGAGTCACTAGTGTTTACACTACACCAACCTCTAACATTTGATGCCATTTCTTGAAGTGAATTGGCCTTATTTTAAAAAACCAAGGATGTGTAAACAGCACTGGTCAGTGGGATGGTTGGTAAAGGACTACTGGGTCAGTAAGCTCCCAATGGTAAGTGTCACATTTGGAGTACCGGTCTTATACAGCGAATAGGGCTCAAAAGCTACTTTTTAAATGGAAATTTTGGGGGCCGTCTTATACACCCCATCGCCTTGTAGGCCGAGATATATGATATCTGTGAGTCAGCTGGTTGATTGCCTGAAAGTTTGGCTGAACTGTGTCATGTCATCCAAAGGATGGTTTGAGTGTGGAAGGAGCTATTTTTTGTACATAAAATATGAGCTATTGTATTTTATGATATCTTATGTATAAATTTTATAGTTTATCATAGCAGCTCATCCCCTTTACATGTGGTTTTCAAATTTAGACTTCTCTGGCTGAGTGCAAAAAGGGCCAATGTCAAAAAATGCCAAGTTAGACTGGCCCATGTAATGTGGGTTTCATGGGCCAAAGTCTAAATTGTCATTTTTGGACACCGGCCCTTTTTGCACTCAGCCAGAGAATTCTCATTGAATTTCAGGGAATTTATATTTTTATTATTTCATTTTGGTGCTGGTTAGTTGAATCTGCTAGTTACCCGGTCTCTGGATAAACAAAATTCTACTTTATATTGTTGTACTGACCTCCAAGGACTAGAAACAGATAATTATCATAAGCAGGAAATTGAATTTAGAAAACTATAAAATTCTGGTTATTATTGAATTGCATAGACGATAAAAGGACCCAGGTTCAGGTACATTCAGGAGCCGGTGCATGCCCAGTACTTGCCAAAAGTGCATAACAGAGACGTGAGCGATTGCCCAAGCGGCTAACGAGCCGATAAGTGGTGAAGAGGATAAAAGTATATACAATACAGTAGAGTCCCGGTTATCCGAAGTCTGGGTAACTGACAGATTAAAACTAATGGCACCAAAATGAAATAATGATAGTAAAAAAAAAAAATCCTCAAAAACCAACAAGAATAATAACTTTGAATACCATACACAACGGGAATGAGCTGTCATATTTATTGCTATGATAAACAATAAAATCGATACATAGCATAACATAAAGTACAATAATCCATATTTTTTGTACAGGTACTAAAATTAACTCCTTCCACACTCAAACCATCCTCTAGACAAAATGACGCAATTTAGGCATTCAACCAGCTGACTCGCAGACATGTAGCTGCTGCACTGTTCTGTGTGTATGCCATGATGTCACATTGGGTGGGAGAGCAGCCACACAGTTATAGCCCATCACCTCCACACATACACACCTATGCTCTTCATACTATTTACCTTAATTCACACAAGATAAACTCATACAGATACTGTATGATGTTTTTGTTTTGTGCTACTAAACTATACATTACAGTATACATAAAAAGTAAAAAATTTCTGGACTAAAAATGCCAAACTTTATCACTCATTTTATACCAAAAACCTGCTTAGTGTGTACTGAACTGGCTGATCACCAATAATTTGGTATAGAGAAGTAATACTGAATATTATATTAAGGCATGATTGAAAAGAGAGAGGGCAAAGAAGTGATTTGATGAACAGGTTTTCTGGAGTCTCCTGTTGTAGGCCAATACCAGAGAAAATATGTGTTTTATACAATCACCCTTACTTAGATCCCTTTTATTACTACCTAATGGTATTAACAATTACAATAATGGTAAATACAAACTCATTACAGCAGAACTTTGCTCTTTCAGACTGGTACTGCCACAGCTGAGGCTGGTATTCCTGCTGATTGGATGGGTTTGGATAGTGGACCAGAGTCTGTTGATGCTTTTAAGGGACCAATCGCCAGGGCAAAGATCATTGTTTGGAATGGGTAAGGTTGTGCTGATATATTCCTTTAGGATTTAGATCAATGTATATGTACTGTCATCTTCATCCTCAAGTTCTGGGCTTCAGAGTCCTATGGCCGACGGGGACAGGCAGAGATGACTGCCGGGAATTTCTAGTCACAACTCTGCACATGGGGAGCATAGATAAGATGGTCATTTATGCACTGGGATCTAGGCAACAATTCAATCTGGTCCTGTCTGTGCTACTGAGAAGCACTTTCGAGGAGCCACTCTACTCACTCCACATGGGGAGGGGGCAAGAAAAGGTGCCCAAAACATAGCCTGCCTAAAGAACCAACCCGACTGGGCAACCACACTCAGTAAGGTCATCCTAATGCGGTCGAAAATACAATCATAATCACAGATTCAAACAAAAACAAACTATACAACCTCTTATGGTCGCTTCATGGAATGTCAGGACCCTTCTGGATACTGGCATAAATGAGCGTCCTGAAAGAAGAACCTCCCTTATGGCAAAAGAGCTGGCTAGGTATAACATCGACATAGCATCCATTAGTGAGGCCCAGCTCCCAGACGAGGGTCAACTCACAGAAAGGGTGTCTGGTAAACCTTCTTCTGGAAGGATAAGCCTGCTGCGGAGAGAAACCACATTTATGGAGTTGGCTTTGCCATTCGGCAATGCATCCTACACAGGCTAACTGAAATGTCTGTTGGGATCAATGAGTGCCTCATGACGCTCTGAGTCCCACTGAATCACTCGTGTCGTGCCTTTTTCATAAGTGCATACGCCCCAACACTGGATGCCGAGGATGACATCAAGGAGGCCTTATACACCGACCTTGACAGAGTACTAACCTCTATCCCCAGAGAAGATAAGGTTGTGCTCCAAGGTGTCTTCAATGCCAGAGTTGGCAGAGATGCTGACATTTGACGGAACCATAGGGAGAAATGGACTAGACAAGTGTAAACCCAATGGCATACTCCTCAGCAAGTGTGTTGTGCACAACCTCACTTACCAATACCTTGTTTAGGCAGGCCGACAAGTTCTAGGGATCGTGGCAAAGCCCACGGTCCAAGCACTGGCATCTCATTGACTGCATCATTGTCAGAGAAAAAGATTGCCGAGATGTCCTCATTCCCCAAGCAATGCATGGCTCAGACCACTGCGACACTGATCATTGGCTCGTCAAAGCGAAGCTTTCACTTAACGTCGCCCCAAAACAGCGAAGGCAACAATGCCTCCAGAAGAGGTTTTAACACTTAAGTGTCTGGAGGATCCAGTGGTAGCACATGCTTTCAGAGAGCAGCTCGAACATAGGCAGTTAAAAACCCCGACAATAAACAACCCAAATTCCAATGACGAATTAGGTATCCTCGACACTGTCATGACATAAACCTGCAGAAAGACCCTCGGCCAGATCAAAAGAATACACCAGGACTGGTTTGACGAAAATGACCTGGAAATCAGAGTATTCATCGATGATAAACATGCTGCTTTAAGTGACTGGCAAAACAACCCTCAGTCTCGGTCCAAATCTGATACCTTCCGCAAGAAAGCGGCGGCCCAGCCCGAACTTGGCAATCTAAAGAACGACTGGTTTAAAAATAAAGCATGTGATAACTACCAAATTAAAGACAAAGAAGGTATCCTCCAGCACTGGAAAGTGCTTTACCATTTGCTGCTCATCCAAAATACTGTACCAATGTGGATGTCCTGACTACCCAGCAGGTCCTTCAGCATCCAGAGCTGACCCACCTTAGCTATCCTCCATCCCTGGATGAGGTAGCTACTGCCATCAAATTGATGAAGAATAACAAAGCCTTAGGGTCTGATGGAATCCCAGCTGAGGTGCATAAAGCAGGACCTCTGCTTACCAGCCGTCTCCATTCTTTCCTGGAGAATATATGGGAAAAGGAGGAAATCCACCAAACTCTGAAAGATGCCAATATTTATAAGAACAAGGGAGACCGGGCAGACTGTGACAACTACTGCAGGATCTTGCTGCTGTCCGTAGCTGGTAAGATTATCACCTGAATCCTCCTAAACAGACTTCTTCCTGAGGCGGAAAACTTTCTCCCAGAATTTCAGTGTGGCTTTGGACCATCACGTGGCACCATTAACACGATCTTTGCTGCCCGCCAGACACAGAAAAAGTGCAGAGAACAGCGTCTTGACCTATACATGGCCTTCATCAACATAACCAAGGCCTTCGACTCAGTTAACAGGAGAGCCCACTGGCCATTTTGGCTGCCCACCAAAATTCATTGCCATTGTGAGGCAACTCCACAATGGCATGAGTGGCAGTGTCCTGCACAATGGCACCCAGTCTGAGTTCTTCCCTATCCAAATGGGATATATCAAGGGTGTGTACTGGCACCAACCCTCTTTTCCATTTTCTCATGTCAGTGCCAACTTACCCGGTGGGATGGATATCCAGTACCGGATGAAGGGTCTTTTCAACATAAGAGGACTCCAGGCAGGAACACAGGTGTTCGCAGCTTCTATTACTGAACTTCAATATGCAGACGACTTCACCTTCGTCACTTACACTGAACACATCCTGCAGGAGATCCTGAACACCTACTCAGATGCTTTTGCACACTTTGGCCTTGCAATTTACAGTAGCTAAAACAACTATCTGTGCAGGTGGGGGTCGATATGCTCCGAAATTTTACGTGTGACTAGTGACAGCCCTCCTATACCAAAATTTATCGTCCATGGTCTCATATTGTTTCCCACAAAGTATGCACAGAGTTGTTTTAGCTACTGTACATAAGACTCAGATCCTCTTTCAGCCCCTGGTTCAGCCACACCTCCATCATCCATTCACCTTAATGGTACTACCCTCTCTAATGTTACCCACTTTCAGTATCGCGGCTTCCATCTGTCCACCACCGCAGACATCGATGAAGGGATTCAACATCGAATCGGATATGCATTTCAAACCTTTGGCAGACTGCACTTGTGTCTTCAGTTGTAGGGAGCTGAAATTATCTACTAAGTTGCACATATATCGAGCAGTGGTCCTCCCCATCATGTTATAAGGCAACGAGACATGGGTCACATACAGGAGGCACCTTAAGGCACTTGAAAACTTTTACCAACGTAGCCTACGTTTCATCCTCCAAGTTCACTGGGAAGACAAAAGAAGAAATGCCAGTATTCTCGCTGACACCAACTGTAGGAGCATTGAGGCTACCTTTATCCCTGAACAACTACGTTGGACTAACCATGTTACCCGCATGGACGACAGTAGACTGCCAAAGCAGCTACTTTATAGTCACCTAACAAATAGTAAACATAATGCTGGCGGGCAACTTAAATGGTATAAGGATAGTCTTAAGACAAACCTGAAAGGGTGCCAAGTCAGCCCCCTCACCTGGGAGACGATTACCCCACATAATGCTTGGAGGAGTACCACACAAGAAGGTGTCAATATTTTCGAGTTAGCCCGACTGCATACCAAGGCAGACAAGAGCCAACGCCGGAAAGACACTGCTGCTTCCTCTCCCGCATTAGATGTAGCCTTCCACACGTGCAACACCTGTAGATGATCCTGCCGGTCCCGTGTCGGCCTCTCTAGTCACCTCAGAGCTCACCACCGAAGGTGATGTCTTAATAACTCCTATCATTGGATCATAGCTGGATGATCGTCATACTCAATTCCGTGTGTGTGTGTGTTTCTTAAAGGTAATACAGTCCTTAAATAATGTAAGACATGTATCTGGTGTGGTTTATGTATGCTGGGGAAGGAGGTATAGTGAGATATTGTGAGCTTCCCTCTGCTGTTAAGCCAATGTAAGCCATTATTTACGTCTTTGGCAAATTTGCTGTAAGTTTATGACATTAGATTGGGATAATTTGGCTTGTTTTTCAGTATTTTATTAATCGTAATATTATTAGTGACAATTTTTGTGCTTAGTGGACTACTGCTCGTCCCAGACTCCTCAACTAGGCACCTTCGCCTTTGGTGCTCGGCCTCCCACCCGTAATACGGGCACATTAGACACAGGGTAATTTGTGATACATTAAAAAAACAAAAAACACGTCTTATATGCCGGCAAATATGCTACATTAGGTTTTTCAGGAAAGTATCCCATCGTTAAATGAGGGATACCTGTGTTGTGTTATTATTGTCTATGAATTGTTCAGACTATTGGGTACACACACCCTGGTGCTGGCATTAGTGTGGCATCTATATTTTATTTTTAGAAAAATCTTAAATAGGAAAATTTTTATGATTTCTCCCAATTGGCTTTATTTTTTAATTAAGAATTTTCTTCTGTACTGATAGATATTTTCCTTTAGGTCACCCATGGTGACAAACTACACCATATGACTAAGGTTCGTATTTTTACAGTACACGTCTTATATGGCAGAGAGGACTCGCCTGGTGAATCATGAAGTTTGTCTCTGTTTACATTATCTTGCAGAGATGACTCCAGTCTGCATGATAGTGTCATTCTTTGAACAGAATCTAAGATATTCTTAAAATTTTTTCCTCACAGACCATGTGGTGTGTTTGAGTTTGACAAATTTGCAAGTGGAACAAAGAGTGTCATGGATATGGTTGTAGATGCAACAAAAGCTGGTTGTACCACTATAATTGGAGGAGGAGATACTGCTACTTGCTGTGCTAAGTGGGGCACTGAGGATAAGGTTTCTCATGTGTCAACTGGAGGTGGTGCTTCTCTTGAGCTTCTTGAAGGTAAGAAATGTACATATGTATTAAGTTTGCATTTGCATTGCATTTTGTCTTAATTGTTTAACATTATTATGTTATTTCTAAATTGTCTAACAACACTAATATTGTTAGCTAAACTTTAATGGATGACAGTCCTTCGAGGAAAAGGATTAGCTTAACCCAGGGTATTGAAATAGTGATTGACTGATTCAGCATATATCCTACAATGGCATGTAACACCCTACCAATCCTTCACTGCCATGGGATAAAATTAATTTCTCCTGGTCGGTAATTCAGATGACCATCTGAGCTCTGGTATCTCCTAATTATTCTCATTTTCTTTGCTTGGCAGTGGTGATTTATATTTATTCTTTAACATGGGGTATGTATAAGCATGCTGTACATAAATTCTAAAATTGTGTGGGTCATTTTTTTTTTTGTAGATTGATGTATTTTATGTAAACATACATGGAAACTAATTTCACCAGTGTGATTCTTTTTTTATTTTCCTACATCCAGAAAAACTAAGGAATTTAACAATTACTCCCGAGATATTGCACGTCAACAGTTTATGCATCTTCAAGTTTTAACCTTTTGAAAGAGGTACAGTACCTGCACTAAAATTTTTACATGATATTTTCTGTGTAAATGAAAGTTGATACAACATTCTTTTGAGTAAAACAGATGGCACTTTCTTATAAGTGAGTAACTAGATCCCACTTATATGTAAAAGAGATGGCTCTTGTTAGTAAAGCAGATGTCATTTTTTTGTAATTGAAGAAAGTGCCACTTTCTTGTAAGTGGAACACATGCTACTGTCCTGTATAAAGCAACAAGAAATTTTAGACAAGAAGGGTTACTTATTTTAATTATTATATTCATACAATCAGAGAAGGAAGCGGAGAAAAACATAAGTTATCAAAATATAAGGGGAAAAAATCCCTGTTGAACATTTATTTCCTGCTTTGCTAAGTCTGACCACCTAAAATCAGCTAAAAGCAATGCTTAACTCTTAAATTGTTGCTTGATTATTATGATAAATTATCTTTAAAAAAATCCTTATAACAAAATCTGAAATAAGACAAGGAATAAGGCAATACCTCATTTATTAAGTTCATGCATATGGAAACTGGTTAACACACACTGTAAACACTCTCTAGGGGCAGATCCAGGAATATTAAAAGGGTGGGGGGGAGATCCAAGAAGTTGTGGGTAGAACATAGCAAGGACAGTGAACCCACCCAGCTAGGGGGTTTAAGGGGGTTCTGTCCTCCCCCAAAAATAAATAACAAAATAAAAATAAATAAATGAAATCTGACTGATATCAAGAGCATCTTAAGGTCATTTTGAAGCCATATACACTTGATATTGGGAGGTCAGTAGTCATTACTTTTTACTACAAAAACACCTGAGTATAATAGTACAGTACTGCATTACATAAAAAGTATTTGAATTTTCTGATGAGGGGGGGGAGGGGGGCAGGGGCCAGGACCCCTTCCCTGGATCCACCTCTCACCACTGCCGCGTAACTTCACAATACACGCACCTACAAACATAGTGCAACATATTATTCAGTTTCCTATCAGTATTACTTATTCCTGACCACTTTCAGCTCATTTTTGTACAACAATACAGATACTTACAGTAAATCCTCGAATAACGACGGTAATATGTCCTCCAATATTGCAGTGGAAGGTGAATCATCGTATCATGAATTATTAATTACCATTAAAATAAAGCAATAATAATGAGATGTGTTCCCAAGTGTGACCTTTTCATATCTTTTGTGTGACCTTTTACCCTCTTTTCCCCCCAAAACAATACAATTAATGAAAATTGCAAACTACTGTATATTCTTCAAATAACTGAATGCACCTTATACAATATAAATGAATAATAATATGGTCACACAAGAGGAGATGGGACGCCATTGTTTTCATTTGTGTTTACTGCCAGGAGTCAAAGACGATAGTTCTACTCGAGAAAAATAAGAAAATAAGACTGGTTGTAGCTGTAGTAAAATTAATGTAAAAAAATTATTATATATGTTTTAAGTACCAGTATTTAATGTTAATAAATGGAGCAATAAAAGTAGTTAACCACTAATGGCAAGGGAAAAAAAGAAATGGATTGGGAACGCCAACATATACGTGCGCATTTAAGGAAACCGCATCATTTATCTTTTTAAAAATATGTACAAAAGAATCATTTTTGTTTATTACTGAATATGTATTTGATTGAATTAATCTTTATATATACAAAATGAACAATACAATTCATTAACAATATGTAGAATATTGAAACATACAAGTGGATAAGAGATGGCATTGTTGTCAGTATAATGAGACAAATCTCACAAGAAGAAGATTACATAGAGGTAGAATATTGATAGTATAAGGGTATAAAAGAGAGGAAGATTTTGGTAGCGTGGCCGTGATAGTTATTGACACTTATCGTATCTTCTATGTCAATACACATCTACTACGTCTTAAAGGCGACTTCTCAAACACTGCTTCGTTACAACTCTTTATTAATTACGAACATGACATGGACACATTAATAACACCTTCTATTGAAGTTACTAGGACATTATATTATCGTTACTAGGACATCATATTACGTTACTAGACACTCTGATTCTCGGACACGAACATGAAATGAATACACTTCCCACGTAAGTAACTCATCCCATGGAAAGCTCTGACAAACACTCACGTGACCTAGGGGAGGCCTAGCAGGTAGTCCTGGGTTGTCTCTATGGGAGACTGCTTAGCTGGGCGCCGGAGGGAAGTCTCGGTCCTGACCGGAGGCGACTGGAGGTGACCGGAGGCGACCGGAGGCGACTTGCCTCCGGCCCCTGACTTCTCTCGAGCAGGACTCCGGGGACGTCGTAGCTGGCCACCTTGTTACAAGACCACTCTCTCTCTGCATCCAGGGAGGACTGGCTCTGTCTCCGGGTATCTCTCTCTGCGAATTGTCTGAGGGAGGACTAGGACGTCCTATATGTTGGGATGCGAGCCGTGAGGTTGAGCTGGCGGGGCGAAGGTCTCCTTACATTTGACCTCGCTAATGTTGGGTCAGGTCTGGACTTTGTTCAGAGACTGTAAGTTATATCTTCTGGAAAAGTCATCAGGTGGGGCCTTGTGACATGAGAGGCCCTGGTTGATTTGTGGCCCCTTGAGTTGGGCTCCGAGGGTTACATTTGACCTGGCTAATGTGAGGTCAGGTCTGGACTTTGTTCAGGGATGTAGGTTATTGTATATTGGGAGAGAGTCGGCTGGTGCCTTCTTACATGTTTTGTTGGGGGCCGTGACACATGGGAGGGGAGCTAGTTGATTTACAATCCTTGGTCAACCGCAGAGTTACCCTATACTTTTGACCTCCCTAATGTCGGGTCAAGTCTGGCTTTCCTTGCTATGTAAGCTGTGGTCTGACAACCCCTCACTACATCAGTGCTTACACCCATAATGTCAGTTATCCACCGGAAACTGAAGAAAATAAGACCCTGGTTGTTGTTGCTGTAGTGAAATTAATTTTAAAAATATGTATTGTAATCGCTCATAGGAGCGATTTTGGTTTGTGCAGGACAATAAGACCCTTGTCGTTGACGCGATGAGTATAATTCGGTCAAAACGTTTTTGGGTCTAGGGTTAGACCAACGAGAACAAATCTAATGTCCTGCAGAAAGATATTGGCTGACGAGAATCAAGATGGTGCCTCTACAGTAGAAGGCGATAGACTGTCCCTCAGGCAGTCACACAACTGCTACTAGCTCCATCTCGCTTAGTAAGCTATTCTGAGTTGTAAACAGTTTCTTCACCTAACATGTGGCCGGTGCGCACAATTGCGCGTGGTGATAACACTCCCCCTGTTGGGCTTCGCACGAAATTACGGCCTTCCATTAGATTCACTCTCCGACCCCTTCCAACAGGCAGAGTCGTCGCTGGGCTTATTAACATTGAGTTCTTTGTCTTCACTTTAACACTTCGCACCAGGCCATCTGTGCTCGATAGTGCCTCCAGTACTCTCTCTAGCATCCACATATTGTGTGAGTTTTTACTCAGATGACGAAGTCATCAGTTTCAACTCTGGCTGAAGCTGTAGCTTTCCATAAGGCTGTTGCTGAAACTGTTACTGAACCTGAAGTTGATGTCTACGCTGCTTATGATGCTGAATTTGATGGTGTAGATGAAGTTGATGGTTTAGGCCTTCGAATAATAAAGCTGTCAAAAGAACCTTGCACAGCTGCTTTCTTTTCTCATTACAGTGGTCCCTCGGTTAACGAGTTACCTCCCATAAGATTCTTAAATTCGGTTAACGAGCAACCCCTCAGTTAACGAGTTTCTTACGAGCCTACCTCAATAAGCTTTGGCTTGCACTGGGCGGTCAACCAGCTGTAGTATTAGTCCGCCAATACATTAATCGGGTCTAGGGCTTAAATTCCTTACTATTTTAGTATATATCAAAAAGTTTATACTATTCAATAATTTTCAAAGTTTAATATTCAATTTTTTAGTCATTTTAATAATTATTGAACATAATTGAAGGTAAAGTGACTAGTTTAATGCGCGGCATCCAGCCTCTTAACACAGCAAACAGGCATTAGTCTCTCTCTGTTTTCACTGGAGGTAACATCTTGCTTGAGACTCTCTTCAACTAAACTCTTTTTTCTGTGTTTCCAAGCAAATTATTGGTCATTTTGAAATTTATTTTACATATTGACAATATATAGTGCAGTGTTATTTTAAAGAAAATATTCTTTATTTACAACAAGTTTAACTTTGAAAAGCACGTGTTGACATTGTTTGAATCCAGCATGGGGCCTAAGAGATCAAGAAAAGCTATTTCAATCCAAACCAAGCAGGAAATCATAAAAAAACATGAACAAGGCATTAGAACAAATGCGCTATGCAAAGAATATGGCATGTCGACATCAACTGTGTCGACAATTCTTGCACAGAAAGACAAATTTAAAGAAGTGAAAGTGAGAGACAAATCTACAAGAGTGTTTAAAAGTAGATCCC